CTTAATTGACTTTTTAATTTTTGTGTTTGGCTCTTAAATTTTTAACATTTTTCTTCAAATGAGCTAGCTAATGATTTTTTATTTGTACACATTTCTAGATTACACAACAATACTCTTCTGTTTTTGATGTTAGAAGTGTTTGAAAATGAAGATGAAGTTTTCTACAAGGTAGTGATTTACAAAGGTTCAATTTTTTACTGATTTGTTTTCACTAATGTTGAAAGTTTTAGCTTGAAATGTGAAGATCACTTAATTACTCTACTAGACGTTTTACTGTATTCTAATGTCATTCAAACGTAGACTTGATTGTTTATTGATGCAAATAACCTAGAAGACAGAACTTATCAGGCAAGAAATAATTATAATAAGCTGATTTCGTCCTTTGTAAGTTTTATACTATTTCAAATTTTGTTTTGTATGTAAAGATGGGTCAGATATTTGTTTTATTTTTTTATATTTCACTCAAAGTACAAATAAAAGTATTATATTTATTAGATTTTATCTGCATATAAACATACATTTTAATAAATCATAAGACATGATGTATTGTTTGAATGAAAATTTCTGCAATAGTTAATCACTATTAATTAATTGTACACAGTGACTTTGTATTATTTTTAGTTTAAGCAGAAAAAACATTTTTTCAGGGTACAAAGGCTAGACATTTTCCACTCATCGCCCTGTGACTAGTAGATCTTCAAGCATCTGTCACTATGGAAATAACTTAAGGAAATAAAAACATTTGTTCAACCATTCTTTAAACCTGTCTCTTGTTTACCAGCTTGAGTTTACCTTAACTGGCTGTTGAGAAAACATTCATTGCTTCAAAAAATAAAGTCCAGTTTTCAAATGCAATTAAAAGTTAAAATCTGTAAAGCTAACATAATAATCTGAAGTTTTAGTCAGCACCCAGTATCACGAGTGTTTAAGTGATGAAAAATATTGTTGAAATCTAGAAATTTTGATAAAGTTGAAACTGTTACATATTTTTGTTGAATTTAATGCACTTAAATTGTTTGCTAGGAAATTAAATTCATATTATGGTTTTATATCATCACATATAACTGCTGAAAGCATGGTGCATCTGGCAACGTATATGTACACCACTGACTATTTCTTCAGCAGGTTAACAACTAAGGTTGTTCTTGAGGGAATCACTATGTAATGCAAATTTGGTCGTGACAAATGAACAACTTATTACTACTATACACAAGCTATTATGGTTTGTTGTGTACAAATATAACTTGTAAAATATCTAAACTTGTTCAAATAAACTACTAAGATCAATGGCAGAATAGGAAAGTTAAAAATAACTTTATGAATTGGCTTATGGAAAAATGAGACTTTTATAAACACTGTTTTTAAATTGGAATATTTTTCTTACAGCATTTGGAGTTAAAGGTGTATTTTCAGTTTCTAAATTGCCTGAGTGAGGCCTAGTGGTTGGCTAGACAGTGAAACAAAGGCTCCATGGTTTGCATTCCTTACTGGCAAAAATAAAATTGCTCTCCACTTTTGGAGGCTGTGGTTGCATTATAAGAGTGACAGTCAACTACCATTGTTTGATCTGACAAGAATAGCCCAAGGGTTTGTAGTGGGTAGTGTTGACTAGCTGCCTTCCTTTTAGTCTATCACTTCAGAATTTAGGGACATTTTGCACAGATAGCTTTGCATGAAATCCAACAAACAAACAAACAGTCAGTATCTAAATAACTATTTTGCTATCATCAGTATAGAACCATACTTTGTTATGTGGTATGGCATCTCTTCTGACATTTACGTATGCAGCAAGCACACGCAATTTCAAAAGTAAAACATTAAAATGGTGCATCTATAAAGTATTGTGAATTTCAAGAGGGTATGCCACCCTCAAGTATGACATTGGAACAGGAAATAAATCTGTTGCATGTATAATGTTACTGACTCAAAGATCATTTTCTCAGCAAGAAATTAATATTTGTAATAGATTATATTAAATTAGTTTATTTATGTAAGATTCAAACTAAACACATCAGGCTCAAATTTCCAGTTTTCAACTGTGAAATGACCTAGCTGTACCAAAATTAAGTCAGATGATTAAAAATCACAAATAACAACGAAAAAGGTTTAATGGATACCAGAATTAGAATTTTGTATGTAAAGTAATAGAAAATATAATTATTTTTCCCAGTACAGAGCTAATAAAAACCAAGGGATAGATATGTGTTTACTCTACAGTTACAGCAAAATAGTGTACAATTAAAATGAAATATTTTCAGACCTTATGCTTCCAACAACTGTGTTACAGTGTACCTAGAAATGTTTTTTTGTAATACAAGAACATTTAGATAAACATCTTTATTCGATGAAGTTTAACCAATTTTATGGACCATGCAGCACAACATGTGCAAGTTTAATATCCTTCATTAATTAAGATATAATATATATAAAGAAAACTTTTTTTTTCCTATTTATTATTGCAGATGTTCTTAACAGCTACAGAATTTGTGGAAGGTCATGGTCAACATATATTTCTCTTGCTCACCAGTAAATGTCTGTATGTGTTGCAACCTGGTATTAGTGTTTACAAGTTCCATAAGCTTCTGTGCTTCACCTATTCAGAAATTGATTGTGTGCTGGTAAGGTCTCACTGTTTTAAGTATAAAAAATAAATAATCATATATATTATATATCAGTGTGTCAATTTGAATGAGGTTGTAGCTTGTATTTTTTTTTTTTGTCTTATGTAGTGAGGCTGTGGTGTTTCAATATGTAGAAAGCATTTTCACTCTATTTAAAAAGTTAACACAAGTTAAATAAGAACATTCAATTTTAAATTATTCTATTACCTGTCTTATAAAATTTAGTGTTTGGCTAAGCAAACAAGATCATGTAGAGTCTGATAGAGGAAAAGGCACCTAGTGTTTGGCTAAACAAACAAGATCAAGTAGAATCTGATAGAGGGCAAGGGATTTAGTGTTTGACTAAACAAACAAGATCAAGTAGAGTCTGATAGAGGGCAAGGCACTTACTGTTTGACTAAGCAAACAAGATCAAGTAGAGTCTGATAGAGGGCAAGGGATTTAGTGTTTGACTAAGCAAACTAGATCAAGTAGAGTTTGATAGAGGGCAAGGCACTTAGTGTTTGGCTAAGCAAACAAGATCAAGTAGAGTCTGATAGAAGGCAAGGAGGTTATATATAGATTGATGTTTGTTACGTATGTCAGTGACAGATTGATTCACTGCCAGTTTTAACCGTTGATATTTATGCATAAATCTATATCTGCCTACCTATATGTTTATACACACACACACACACGTTTACTTATTTAAATAGTCAAACATTTAGTGAAGGCAGTAGATAAATTAATTCCTCTGTGGCAAAAAACCTCATTAGCTTTTGAGATATAAAAGTCATAGTTCAAGTTCACTTAGTTTCTTACATTTGGATATAAATAAGCCTTTCATTTATTATTCATACATCAGACATTTTAAACGTGAGAACTTGCTGCTATCATTACTAGAAACCTTTATATTGTTACCTATTGCGAATTTGAAATAGTCTGAAGCCGACATTTTAGTTAATTTATGCTATTTGCCAACAAGATTGACACACACTGTCTTCATTTTTCACACAAAAAATATTACAAATGGTTACCACAAGCAAAGTTTTGTAAAACAAAAATTTCACTAACTTACAAACAACACAAAATCTTCTTTCTAGTTCAGAGTCTCCTTGATATCCAGCGAGTTAACTTGAAGTCGATTTATGTACAATTGTCGAGAAGCTAGCTAACTTTGTCAGACACTGAATTGTTGGACCATCGAAGTAAGATAATATTTTCATAAAACCACTAATGTCCGATAAGAATCCACTGACGTTCAAAATTTATAACTGTTCCTGGTCAAATGTCTATATTGTCCGGTTGATAAGGGTTAGCAAAATTACAGTTTATAGTGTACATGGTTATAAGCTCTCTTCTTTGGCCTTGTTTTTTTTATATGTGCGGGAAATGTTTTCTCGAAAGTTCGGACAACAATACCGAGCTATATTTAACCGGTTATGGAAGTGGATGTATTGTCGATTCTTGCATTCACGAATATTCTACAACCCTGGAGAATTGGTGGAAGTTTCACCATATGTAACTAATACTGTAAGCTAGGCACGTTTTTACATATAAACTCGATCCCAACAAATGTTGTCATTAAAATAAATATATAACAAATTCCGTACACGCAATACATATCTGACACTATAAGTTACACATATTTTTAAATACAAATTTAATCTAAATAATGTTCATATTAAAATTCGTTACAATATATATATACGTATACTGACTAATGTAAAATTTTTCAATTTGTAGATTTACTTAGTACACAATAAGTTGTATTTGTTTCTGTAAGTGACATATCCTGTGTTATACTGATATACTGGTTATCAGATATTGGATATAATTTTTAAATATTTCCTGAAACTACAGAAAGTACCTGTAATACTGCTGCTTTCATATACCTCTAAATCTGTTATAATTATGTACAAGACAAGTTTTAGTTGCTCGTTAAGGAGAACATTTTTTTTGTTATATAATATATGTGTGTGTATTATATATATCATCTCAAATTCCTATATGTGAGAAAAACAGATTATTGATGCACCTCTTATATTTTATTTTTCAGTTGTTTTTAAACTATCAAGGGTTTTTACTGATCAGTCAAGACAGAAAGAAAAAGTTTCCTGTTTGGACGGCTAGTGAGCATCTGACAAGGTAGCCATTGGGACTCCTCATAACAGATATGTTTTGGGGGCATTGATATACAATAAAAAGAATACTATTTAGATTTAGTTTAAAGTGAAATGACTATCATTCTTCTGATCCTACAGGTTTACTTATGTTTATTGTAAACAATGTGTTAAAGAAAAAAGAACCACACAATTATCTAATTGTTGGTTATAAACATAGTCACTAGTTGAAATTTTTATTTTATTCATATGCTTATTTATGATACCTAGTATATACTATATTTATTGGTTGTTACTTAAAACTAGGAGCATCATATCTAGTCTAGAGCTTGCAGTTAGAGGTTCAAAATCTTCTGCTCTCCCATGTGTACCTACTGACTGTATTGGACAGATAACCCTGCTTAAAAAGGCTTTGAGTGCAGAAATAAAATGTGAAGTAAGTGTTTAAATTGTTTTTAAAACTAATAAATGTATGGTAATGAGTATTGTACATTTTACAAGGAAAACTTATAACAAAAATTATATTAATTTGTTTGAATAATACATATTCCAAAACATACTTACCATCCGCTGACACTTTAGCTATTCTTTCCTCGTCATTGGTTTTGCCAGTCTAAGCATTGGTCTCGCTTCATCTAATTTGCAAAATTATCCACAAACATCAATACACCCTCTATCTAGGTACTCTATATAAGCACCTCATTCAGATAATGTAATCACTTTTTCTCGACAAAGCTTTAGTCACGGTTTTTCCCTGAGAAAGTGCTGTAGTTCATTCTGTTATGAATTGTGATTTTCATGTTGCCTTGTGGATTTCCATATAAATATAGTTTCCTTTAAAAAAAAAAAAATTGGACGTGATGTTTGCGGTATGCATTCCCATATTCCCATTGTCAAGCACAGCAGTTCATCCGACCTCCCCTATTCCTCCTTTGTTATCTAGCATCTCTCTACAGGCAGGTGTGTGGGGGGGTACTATCAGTTGAGGCTGTTTGTGTTTTGATCCATTGGGACATAGAAACATATATTTGGCCCAGGGGTGTTTTTCTCCTGGGGCCTCTGAAGTTGCTTTTTCTGTTGATCCTGGTTATTCTATGGAGAATTTGGACTCTGATGCTTTTCTTTATTAAGTTGGCTTTTTATGATTTGCATTAACCACCTAGTTTTCTTCTATTAGTCATTTGGGTTATGAGCTTTTGGGGCTTTTCATTGTGACCTTTTTGTCTACTCCTCTCTTGATGGTAGAATGGCCGGGGGGGGATATTTAGTTTTCCTTCTTCACCTGATGATTCTAGTTCATGCTGAGAGATTTACTGCTTTATTACATGACAGGATAGATATACCTTGTACCCTCTTTTGTTTGTTTGCATGCTTTGGCTTTTCACCTTCAGGAGTATGTACTGTTTCACTTCCACAGATTAAAATGATTTACTTTTGGATATATGGGGTTCCAGGTTGGTTCATGTGATCACTTGAACCAATCAATTTTTTTTGTATTTCTTTGCTCCTCACTTTTGCTCTGTGATGTTTCTTCCCCCACAAATTTATTGGCAACCTATCAATGGTCCCCACATTAATTTGCAGACAAATGGGGTCTTCTACTGACTTTTACCTTGGTCAGATTTCCTGCTTCTGTATAGATACCTTGGTGAAGGGACTTTGTCTGTCTGCTGTAGCCTCTTGGGTGTTACTTGTGCCTTCCTTTTATCATCACTTCTTGTTCACGGGTGTCCCAAGGGCATTTGTATTACTAATTGCTGTCACTTGTTTGCTTTTTTGTTGTTATGGACTTCTCGACCTTCTTTGGCTCTAGCAGCTGAATAGACTCAGATCTTAGTTTCAGGGTTACTCCATTTGGGCTGACCGACACCAATGGCATCAGTATCAACCTTGGTGGTGGAGAGGTCAGTTAGAGTGAGGTTACAATTATTGATGGACACATGGTATTCCATGGGCACTTTGGGTTCTGATATTGAGGTTGGTTTTTTATTTCATTCTCCACCTCCATTATCCTCTAAACCTGTGGTATTTCCACTTCCTCCTGACCAGTGGGGTGTGGATTTTCATTTCTCGACTATCAGAGTTACTGATCATGAAGGTGGTAGTGACAGATGATCCCATTTATTTCTTGTGCCTGAGAAAAGGAAGGATTCACAAACGATCGTTTTTTATTTTCTAACTACTATTCGTAGCTCTGTAACCAAACAAAATTGAAGAATATAAAAAAATTGTGGTTTGTCTGAGCAATGATGATTTTATAGAGGATAATTTATGTTTAATTTTGAACTTTTTTGAGGGGTGGTGGATAAAATAGGGAACTGATATGCTAAGAGAAAATGTGTCACATGGGTCACACTAGGGGAAATTCAGGATTTTTATAGATATTGCCTTGTAGAACTTAAAACTTGTATACTATTAAAATATGGATTATTAGCAAATATTTTATGTTATTCTAATTGGTATAACATAAACAAAAATTAGTTTAATAAAATTTTGAATGTAAGACACTAAAACCTTTTGTCATGTACAGTAAAGGATGCCTGTGGTGGTAGGGTTAATGGGTATTTTGTGGTTGCTGACATGCTGATGTCATCAGCTGGAGTTGTTGACATGTTTGTAGTACTTTTTATCTCTCCCTTTTGGTCCATCTATACCCTGATAGGTGTTTTCTTTTTAAGTCTTTGTCACCAGGAAAGGGGATACATTCCTCTCCACAATTCTTTTGCCACCTGTTTCTTGCCTCTACAATCGATCATACGCTGATCATTTGTTTTGTCCTGTCAGGTTCAGAGGAGTTATGTGGCTCTCTCTAACTCCTTTCGTTGTGTTAGTTCTCATCTCTGTATTTTTTGTGATACCTTGGTTTCCAAGGTATTCCCCCCTTCTTCTTGGAGGTGGGTTTTGCAAATATCCAGGTTGCATATTATTTCAAATAATACTTACCTCCGCTGACACTCTCCCACCTTTCCTCCCCACTAAGAGCTGGTGTTAGTGTTGGGAATGGCTTAAGTCTTGAAAAAGTGATTACATTATCTGAATGGGGTGCTTATATACAGTAGATAGAGGGCATATTGATGTTGGTGGAGAATTTTGCAAATTAGATATTGTCAAGGGCATTCAAGTGGGGTATAAAAGACTGGAGCAAGTGAGACCAATGCTTAGATAGGCAAAGCCAATGTTGAGGAATAGTGAAAGTGTCAGTGAAGGTAATTGTTATTGGAAATACATTTTCAATGTAGGAAAATGTTAAAAGAAATTTAACACACAAAAATCAACCAAGAATTATGTGAATAACCTATTCTTCAAGCTTATTAATTAAATTGAAAATAAATATTGCTAAGTATATTTATGGTGGACTTACAGCTTGCTCAGTTATGCATGTAATGACCTTTTAGAGAGTGCCATTCAACATGGTATTATATATGTATTGTCAAAGTTAATAAATGTTCGGCCCAGCATGGCCAGGTGGTTAGGGTGCCTGACTCGCAATCTGAGGGTTGCATGTTCGAATCCTCGTCCCATCAAACATGCTTGCCCGTTTAGCCATAGGGGCATTATAATGTGACGGTCAATCCCACTATTCGTTGATAAAAGAGTAGCCCAAGAGTTGGCGGCGGGTGGTGATGACTAGCTGCCTTCCCTCTAGTCTTACACTGCTAAATTAGGGATGGCTAGTGCAGATAGCCCTGGTGTAGCTTTGCACGAAGTTCAAAAACAAACAATAATAAATGTTCACTTTACCCTACCTACACTGCTGATTTAGTGAAAGATCATGGAAGAGGAGAGTAAGTATCAGATAGTGTTACAGGCATACTGAAAAAAACTGTAGGTGTGAATTTTGGAGGTTCTAAAGGTTATAAAAATGCAGTATGCAAACTGTATGATGAATAAAAGTATTTTTTCTTTCTCACATGAACATCATCTTGCACTCCGACTTGTCAAAGTCCGCGTCAGACTGACATCATGAAGTCACAGACACATCTAGAGTACAAATACGTTTGTAACACATCTAAATTTTTGTGTACAATAGACTTGTACATTTTACTAAAAGCTTGCTACATTTCCCATAGATGCACTTAGTAAATTTTCAATTATAAGCATTATTCTTTCATCCCTAGAGGTCGGTTCAATGGATAGATCTTGTGCACATTCAATTGAAAAACAGAGACCTTCGGACATTTTGTTGTACCTTTGGATTTCTTCAGTTGGGAATGGCATTAAGCACATTAAATTCAAAACATTCATGCTTTGTTTTGTTTAAACAGCATGGTGCAAATTTAAATCCAATACACTTTTTAGTTAACTTGTAGCTAGAAAAACAATTTGTATCTTAATTTAAAGATGGCTGTAAGAAATGTAGAGAAGTTTTTCGTCTTATACATTGTTTTTATATCTAGCTAAACTGTTGTATTTTCACTAAAGAACAGGCTTGGAAGGGATAGAGAAGGCTGATTGTTCACCCCCCACCCCATTACTGCTGCAGACCTACATTATGATATAACTTTCACATATGTGTTAATCTGACCCGAATAGAAATCTCTCACAGAAACTGCCATTTGAGGCCTTTCCAATTTTGGGGGGCATCCCTGTCCCCCACTCCCAATGATACCCCTGCTTTTTTTCTTTTCTGTTTTCATGTATGTGTGTTCAATAAGCCTAAACTTCAAGACTGTAAAATAATTTGATCTAATGTGAAAAAGGACATTTGACACAGTGCATTATACAAATATATCTGTTTTCCTAAGAAAAATGAATTTTTGGGTGTACAGGAACGATGATTGAAATGCAAAATAGTTGGGTTTCAAATTGTTAAAATTTTGAAAGAATTTGTAATAATTGTTTTTATTCTTTCTCTCAGAATTTTTTGATTTGTTACACATTTTAAATTCAAATTTAAAAACAGATTTTGTTAATTGTTAGCTAATGTTGTATAATCCAATTTATTTCAGACTCGAGAGAATTAAACTGTTTTGTTTAATGAGTAATGTTTTGTTTAACTTAATTTTCCTTTGTACCTTGAAGTTATTAATGTTATGAAATGTACAGAAATGACAAAAAGCTGCAAATCCTAAAGTTGTCTGTATTATTAGAAAACAGAAATTAAAACTTAATGTTTGATTAAATGCTTTTATTGTATGAGATGTTATATTTTGTAGCTAGTTTTCATATTGTTAACATGTTAAGGAGTATTATGAAGTGAAAAACTAGAAGTTATCTGTAGTTTGAAAGCTTCTAGGAAAATACCATATTGGCCCAATTATAAGGCGTTTTTTTATTAATAACTATGCTGTAAATTTATAGCTGCCTTATAATCACAGCCAACCACAGGCCCCTTCCCCAACTCTAGCCTGTTGCATTCCTGGATGTCCAGATAGCATCCATCTATGCATGCACATCAGATGTTCACTCAAGATCATCACTAATTCTTGCAACTAATCCACCTAAAGGCTGTTCAGTTATAGTATTGATTTTGTGGACCTAAAATAGGACGTTTTGTCACTCAATTGTTTCTTTCCCATGGTTTCTGAAAATGGGGGTTGCATTATATTCGAGATTGCTCTATAATCAGGCCAATACGGTACCTACAAAATAAGAATAGGTTCCAGTTATTTTGGATTAGAAAAAGTAAACCCATACATATACTTACTGTAAAACAAAAATTATTTTTTGTATTGTTAACATGAATGTGTTTACAATGACATGATTTCATGTTTTCTACTAAGGTTTTGAGTATTTTATAGTGTGTTTTTCAGTAGGATTAAGTAAGTATTTTCACTGAAGGTGGCTGATTTGGAAATACACCATTACGTTCTTGCTTACTGGGATAATCACAAGAGAGGTCACTCGTCACCAGGAACTCTGGGTGGTCCAAGGAGAAGTGGCTTTCTAATGTATCGAACAAAACTGGGTAGAAACGGGATTTCTAACTCTTGGAAACCAGCCTATTTTGTTCTGAAGTATGATCTGTTGACCTTTTTTTTTCTATTTAAACTAAACTAATTCAAGTTTGTAAAATGAATTCATTTTTATAAATTTTGTGTAACAAAATGGAATAAACTAGAGCATAAATTCAAGTTTGTTTGTTTTTTAATGTAACATTTAAAGGTTTTATTTACCACTACAAATTTTCTTGGTATCAAAATGAATATAGAGGATGTTAGTGTTTTGTTTTACTTAAGATTACTGTTGAATAAAAGTATCAACTCGTAAAAATGACATAAACATAAAAAAACAATCAGGCCTAATAAGAATAAATCAGTTGTTTTTTTCAATTTTTGACTATTTTTTGTTGAATTAAATTTCATTTTTACATTTTTATAATTTTAATGGATGGATTTAAAATTGTTGAATTATTTAAACAACTGTGTTAATAATTTAAGCAGATATACTGACTATTCTATACTATAATGATTCCAGTGTTGAGTTCACCTCTGCATAACAAATTTCAGAGTACAAGTAAAAGTAATAATTCCAGTTCTGTTTCAGTTATTTTCAATTCATAAGTATTTTAGAATTGATATTTTGTCATTTTGTAACATTTATTTAGTTTTCTTTGTAAATAAAATTTAACAAATATCCAGACTTTTTGTATGTGCACCTTTGAGGGGTGTCACCTGCAAACAGTGCATTTATGAACTTTACTAGGATTTTTCTGTCCATCCCAAATCATAGGTTTATATTTGCTAATAAACTATCATCCTTTGGGAATATAATTATTCATGTCTTGTTTCTCCAAGTGATTTTCATTCTCTTTAGTGCAGTGTTTTCCAAGCTTCAAATAGTGGCACCCCTCTATCTCAGCAAAGTTTTCATTGTGCCCTCCCCCTTCACACTAAAATAATTTTTGCAAGTGATAACTGCAAAATCAATATTTTCTACACATGTTTTTAATCAGTTTTTTAAAATGAAAAATAATTGTAAGGAGTGAGTAAATGTGAAAGCAAAGAAAAGCTTTGAGAGCAAAGTGATAGTTTTGTTAGGTTATTGTTATCTCCATCTCTTCTGTTTCTTCTGTCGTTAATTTTGGCTCTCCTGCCAAAAGGCTGCCCCCCTCCCCAGCCACCAGTATGCACCCCCACAGTTTATAAATCAGTGCTTTAGTGGTTTTATAATTACAGCCTTTCTTTCCCACCCCGTTTTATGCTGCTACTATACTACTATATTTAATATTTATAGTTTGACACAAAATGTGCTGTGTCAGTACCACTTTTAAAATCATTTGCTAGCACATACTAGCTGAAATTTTACTTCTGTTTCGGTTTCAGACTTTAATTTTTTTCATCAAAAATATATTGGCGTCATTACATAAAGTGTGTCTTTCTACACACATATGTAGCTGAGGCACAACATTTAACTGATTATTACCTCACGTTTTGTGCTCAAATTATTGAGATATAACCAGTGGATTTATTAAATTTCTTTCACACTGTGTCTTAGTCAGAAAATGTTACGTAGCTTTTATAGGAGTTAAGAAATGAGTACCTTGCACTAGTTGAATAATATTTTACATAGACTAATAATGGTTGGAGATGGCTTGAATGGGTAATGAAGAAAAACTTTAATATAAGTTTAACATAACAGCAAATGTACAACGTTTCGACAAGGTTCTGTCATCATTCAAGCCGTCTCCAAGCATTATTTTACATAGACTTTTTATGGAAAACAAATTAACTTTTTTAATATGAATATCAATATTGTTGCTTAACTTGATCAAGACAAACTTAATAACATGGAAATTTTTCCTTTTAACAGGGCTGGTGTCCTTTACTGTTTTGATCAAGAAGGAGTAAAAGAACCAAGGTTCTTCATACATCTGAGGTGTGGAATAAAATAATAAAGTGTTACAGTAACTGTTTCAGCTGATAACCAATATCTTAACCCGTCCGTTATGGGCTGGGTGGAATCCACCCAGCTCGTAACCATGAAAGTATTCATGAGAGTAATTATACTATGATTTTTCATAATGTAAGCATATCTTTACAAAATTTTGCAGGTTATTGGTAAACATTACAAGGTTTTCGTACACAAAATATCAGGTTTGTAAATTAAGTATTAAGATTTTTTAATTAAAGATTTTCTCGTAAACCTTTTTCTTAAAAAATTTTAACTATCCAACATCCAAAGCAATTTTAATTTTAAGATTAAAAATACTTTAATGCATCAGAACATTTCAAATTTCATATGCGAAATCTTTATAATCTCCAGATAATTATCAAATTTTTTGTTATTTTCACTAGTGTATTTCTGCATGGGTTGTTCGATATGACCAATTTCGTAAATTAAAAAATATATATAAATTATGCTTTTTTCATTCTAGAATGACTACAGATTATAACATGAAAACACAAAATTTTAGTCTAACTAGTTTAAACCTCATAACATTATACATTTGTATATATTTATTAATGTTATTATATAGACCTTCCAACCATGCCTGACTAACAATACAGAAGTTACAATGATGTGGCACACGTGCACTCGTGTTATCGTATCCAATAATATATAACTGACCTTTAGTCTTTACAAAGTGACCTTTCTTGGCTGTGTTTTAGTAGACTAATATTGTGTAAAATACAGTCACATTTTAACTATTATGCATTATATATGTATATACATTATTACCATTTACAAATAAGCTCTTAAACTTATTTTTCTTAAAACATAGAACAGTAAATAAAATAAAGCAAATAATTATCTCTTCTAGTTACAACCTTTGTACTCATTTGCCGCTTGTCGTAGATTGCTAAGCATTATGAAATTTCCCACGTGGAGGATGTAAAAATAATTTTTTTTAAGTTTTATATATACATTTTAATTAATACAAAAAAATCATAAATTACTATAATGATACCATTGAATTCCACTATAATTTATCAAGCTTAGTAACTAAGCTGTATTTGGTTCTAAAAAAATATGAAATTTCAAGCTCACTAAAGACTTACCTCATTGCTTGAAATCTTGTGTGAAAAGAATGAAATT